ACACTGATGTTATTAGTTTACTTAGAGAAAAACAAGTTTTTCTCCAAACAATGTCATCTCACTCAAAACAGAATTTCCTGAAAAATAATCCCCATTTTCATTAAAGTGTATTGCATTTTAGACTCTCTTCAGCAACCTGAGCAATTCCATTAGAAACTCTGATAAGAGACTTGCTTGAAAAATATTTTCCCCAGACTTCCCCGTGATTTATTTTTACCATAGAAATTCTCCAAAATATCAATACACTAGAATCATACATAAAACAAATTACTATCGCTGACCCCTGCATTTTATAATGTAAGCTCTGCACATGAGAATGCTGTAGCAGTTCAGATAATTGTCAGGAAGTCAAATCTTATAGACATTTGCAAGTTATCTCTGCACCTAAGTTTAGAAAGTGATACTATCTCAGGAGTGAGTATTCAAAGGCACCGATAAGGAAAGGTGTGGTACAGCTATAGAGAAAGCACGGGCTTCACTACTGCGCAGCTATATAATTGAACACAATCGACACTGACCTTAATGGCAAAGTTGCTCATCAAATCCACTCCATTTTGGATATATTCAGATATATTCCAAGGCTTTGCCTACAAATAAATGACCTGCTTTGCAAGCTGTATGAATTTTAAGTGTTAACCATGAAAGATGCTGCTACTGGCTCCTAGCTACGTCAGAGCAATCTTGTGAACTGAATGAAAACTTATACATCAACAGAGGGCAGGATTTTCTCTTAATGTATCAGTTTATGCAGAATTATCCAATCTTAGTGATGTGCTAGGAATCCTTAAATAACTATTGATCAATCAAATAGAAAGTCAATCAATAAATTCAGAGTGATCACCTACTGTTTTATTCATAAGAATTCCTTCTACTCTCTCTTAGTAGCTGTTTTTTCCTTCCTTCTTCATTACCTTTTACATTTTTCAGCATGTGCTATGTTATTTACCTCCTTTGCCTGGTAACCAGTCCCAGTCTTTTCAAACTCTCTTCATGGGCAAGTTTTTTTCAAGTATTGGATCATTCTCATTTTCTTTCTTTGTACCACAATTCTGCAAGATCCTTTCAGACGTACTGCACAACACCATTCCGCATGATAAGGAATCATTGATATATAATGGCACTATAACATTTTCCATATTCTTCTTTCCTCTATGCATTATGCACAATAGTATCACATTGGCTTTGAGTCCACAGTTACACAGGTTAATAATTTCCAAGAGTCTTAGACTACAGGCTTGTTCATCAACTTGATTAGAATCAATATTCACTACTAAATAACTGTATGCAGATAATAATAAAACATTGATATCGATAGCTGTGATTCCTCTTCCCTAATTTTAGCTGCCAAAAAGTTAAGGGTCTTCTCTAAACTGTATTTAGGTTTCTTCGAATATTAACGAGAAAGGTATATTCAGAGAGAGACCTATCTTATGCTGCAATAGGTGCAACAGGAGAAGATAAATTTCCCCTGAAGGTTTTGATCTCTCCACTCACTTTAGAGGAACACAGATTACTGGTTTAGACTAAAAATCTACTGTCTCCATGACAAAAGTTAAAAGAAACAAGTTCTTCTCTCTACTCCATGACATTACTTCTGATTTGTTCCAGCACAGACAGATCAGAACTCATGTACCCATCCTTTATGCAGCTATTAAACCTCACCAGGTTCTTAACATTTAATTTGATATTTATTTATTCATCTTTGTCTAATATTTGAAATTCAAAAGAGCTGGCTCCTGTATTTCTGTCCAAGATTATCCAGACAGAATGATATGCGTGAGACATTGCACACACAGTGAATCTGACACATCCCATAACAGGCAGCTACATCACATGGCTTGTGAGACTAATACTTCCAGGACATATCAGCACTCCTACATATGTACTGAGCAAATACTCTGCAGAGCCCATCAACCATATGCTGGACACGGTAGATTTAACACACCTTCAGCTCAGAGATGTGTGTGCCATGAATCTGAAGTGTCTGAGTGTTACTTGAGTATTACATGGACTCAATCCATGCCCAGTTTCTGCAGCCACTTACGACAGGCTGCTGGACAGTCAGAAATCCTGTGAGTGTGATGCAAAAAAGAGGGAAAGTGATAGACAACCTGCGAAAGGGAGAGCCTCCTGCCTAAAGCAGCAGCAATGTTCTGTGTGTAATAGTCAGCATTTTTTAAAAGTGTGGGTATATGATTTTCACTTCAAACACCCATTAAGCTATAATAAAACATTGCTAAGGATAGTCAAGGCACTTGAAGTATTACATATACATACATGCATGTGTTTGTATACACACACCTTTTTTTAACTTGAAGCAATTAGCAACTATTAGCTTGAGCGACTCACTGCTAATTTGAGGCAGAGGATTGCACGCACCAGGCAGATGTCCTCACTGCAAGCACAAATTTCTAAACAGAGCAGCCTTGTTTTAACACAGCTGGGAGCTGTGGAATGAGAAATGTCTGTAAGGCCTCATGCTAGCCATAAAGAGTTGGATGTTCCACAACATCCTCAGCCACAGACATAAACCACCAGATAAAGAGAGTCTCTCTAAAACACTCCTTGGAGAGCAGACCATTTACCAATCGGAAAGCCATTGCCTCTAGTCATATTGTGACTTACTAAGTTGCAAAAGCTACATTCGTAGTGTTTTCTAGCAGTGGGTCTCCCCATGATGTCAAAGGAGCCAGTAGTAGGCTGGGTTTCATGGGGGAATGAGAGGATCTGTGGCTCCCATAGCAATCGGCCATCTCCAGAGCAGCAGATTCCCCTACTCATACAGGAGAAGTCTGCAATGTTACTTGAGTGCATGCAGCTTCCACATTGCAGTCCTCCCAGATCATATGGATCCAGTCCTCCACCTAATCCAGTGCAGAATTAATAGCCTTCCTACTTAAACTCCCATTTCTAAGAACAATTTCACAATAAACAGAACAGAACTTTCTTATAATTCGGATGCATTCATGAAAAATGTTCCCCCGAGAAAGTAAAATAGGAGTTTAACGTAACCTACTCTTGCTGAAAAAGGGAAGCATATGTCTTTTCTGTACCACCTGGATCCAAGCTCCATCTCATCTCATCTCCTTCCCCCTCTTCAGCACTGGTGACAACCAGTTAACATCATCATGTCTGTAATCTCTGTGTCTCTTGAGCTTTCTACAACCTGGAATCAGTGCAGCCTGGCTCCCAGTTTTTGTTCAAATGCACATCTTCAGGAAGTGTTCTTCCATACTGTACTATTCACTCTCACACTTCCACAGGTATGAAATGGGGAGATATGGCCTTGTTCCATCCAGCCCATGTATTCTCAGCAAATCTCAAAACCAAGTAGTTTCTCATTCAATTTCTGTCACTTTCTCCTCATCTCCAAAATCATCATCAACTAGCTGACAAATTTACAGTCATCTTCCACTTTGAAGTTGCCCTATAACATCTTTTTCCAATTTCTCTGCTATTTTATCTCCCACTACAAATCTTTGTTCACTCCATTAGCATTACTTGACTGCCATATCAGCATAAACCTTTCCATTTGTTAAAATGATCACTCACACCTTTCCTTTGTTCTCTGGTTTCTCCAATTCATATCTAGTTTCTTTGTGTTTTCCAAGTACCCACGACAATAGCAAGCCAGAGCTTCCGTGAAACTCATGGACCCTTATGACTACTGATGAATGAACTTTCAAAATATATCAGTTTCCCCACGGACAAGTGATGAGCAGAGAGATCAACTGCTTCATTTCAGACTGCATAATCAATCTAGAGCAGGCAGATATGCACTCCCAGTTCTTATGACTTGCGGACCCATGCACTTATCCTAAGAATATGCTTCCTCTCTTGCACAGAACAAATACCTTGCACAGGAAGGATTCATGTCACGTTCGTATCAAGATGACGTACCTGGATGAAGATATATTCATCTTGAACAACAAGGGAGCTGATGTCAATGGATCGAGAAAATGGCCCGCTCCTTTTGGTCTCTGAGCACTCTTGGATCCGACAGGTCAAATAGTGGGTGTCTGTAACGGGAGAATATATGCACATGAGAAATGCCCACGTAGGAGCCTGTTGACTGAAAACAGCAGCAGCAGCTCAAAAGAAAGTCTCTGAAGGGAAGTCAACCTCATCTTCAACTAGATAGACATTATTGCATGATCTACCTGCAGTGTTTAAAACTTCAACTGCTCTCTGGAGTCAGGAATTCATCGCACTTCCACATCCACCTTTCCCTTCCCCATTGTGCAGACGTCCCTCAGGAGATTGGAGTTCAAACCATAAATGGAGAGTACAAATCATAAGTGTATCAGAAAACCAATGTTGAGACCACATGGAGAAGATGATGATTTCAAAAGCCACCCAGGCAGAATTTATCAATTCCACTGTCTTGCTGGGAATTATATCCCCATCCTTCCCCTGAAATACCCTAGCCTTGATGACTGGTTTTAATTGTGATAGTAACACACAAGGAGGAAAAAAAGCCCAAACCAGTACTATTAAGTTTAACTTATTTTACTGTGAAAAGGACAAGCATCACCCAAAATTAAGTCTTTATAGCCAACATAGGCTAGGTATGAGAATGCCATGGACATGAAACAGCATGACTTGCTGAAGAGTTCCAACAGTAGTTATATGCACTGACAAAAAGAATGAAATGCTTCCGTCTAGAGAGAAGATGAGAAGACCCTCACACTAATGGGATGCCTTGTCAGTCCTCGACATTGCTTGAGAAAGGAACAGGACTGGGACAAGAACATGAAGAAGACATAAGGCATAGACAGATCACATAGAAAGTTGCTTGGAGTGGCAAGAAGAGACGTGCTCACCTCCAGCAAGTTGGCAGAGGTTATACAGGATTAAGTATTATTTCACTCAGGCTAAGAAAGGATCTCATGAAACAGAACAATCAAGGCACTGTGTCTCTGGATATATGTAATCTAAATATGCCATCTCTGCCTTTCAACTGCTCTTCTGAAAACTGCAAATTAGGGAGAAAAAGAAAATACAACTGAGATGACTGCTACAGTGATAAAAGGGTCATATCTTTAACGCTGCAGCACTTCTACAGGCTTCTTAGATACACACACTTGTTCACTTCTCTACAAAAGGTGAGGACAGACCACAAAGGAGGAACAAAACAGTGAGTTTATAAGGGCTGGGGTGAGGCTGGTGTGTGAGATTTTTTTAAACTGCACCTTTTAACAAGGATCTTGTCAAACTGAGTCCAAAAGGATAAAAGGGAAGTTTAAAAGGACAGACAGTAACTAGCCTAGCAAAGCTGCTTACAGGATTCTCCATCCCATAAAACCTGCTATTATCCTTAGTCTGTGTCTTTCCAGTGACAGCAAAATGTGGTTCAGTGGAAAGCACTGGGGGCATGACTGAAATCCTGACACTCAGCTGACTGCCTTCCCAGATTCAAAGACAAGACTCACAAACTGGCAGTTTCCCCTCCATAGCTTTGTCCCACCAACAGACGCTTAAGAATGCAAAAAGAATGCAAGTCAGAGGCATTGACAACAAGAATAATAATTTTTTAAAAAGATATTGTCTAAAAAAAGTCACACTACAACCAAACTTTAATCTAAAAAAGGTTCATGCCCAGCCGCATGACTGAATGACCATGTCTAACGGCTGCAGACCTGGTTCTGGGTTGAGGCGCTGGGAATTACAGGTTAACAAGGAATACATGGCTGATTCAGAGCAGCCGCATAGGCCTGGCGCAGCAAAGAAAACATAGTCCCACTGATGATGTTAAAGCAGCAGAAGCTGTTGCTGTTGCCAGCTCAGAGTACCTGGAGATAATTAAAGTGTATGGTGAAAAATATCTGACCTAGGGACAGTGCCAAATAACTGGAGTATCGGAGTTGTGCTTTCTCCCAGCATAAAATACCAGCAGCAGCAAAGAGGTCAGACTCTCTGCTAGGATAAACTGAGGTTCTTCATCAACTGATACATACACACTTGGTCCAGAGGTGCTACTTACCTCCTCAACATGGAATCTAAGACATCTTTGCAGTGTATAAAAGCAACTTCTCAGAAAACAAGAGGGTCTTATATACTGCCATGCTACCCAAAGAGCTCTGCAGCCTTGACTTATTCTTTGAGGTAGCACTAAAATTAGGCAGAACGAGGAGGAGAGGTCAGGAGCCATATTTTTAGAAGCTCATTCCCTCCGGTATGTTCTCCCACACAGAGAACATTGGATATTCTTATCCCTCCAAAAGGGGATAATTTGCTGCTGCTGAGTGACAGAATGGGAGGAAGAATAAAATCCTATCACGAGTAAATGCAAATAAATCACAAGTGTTGACATGACAACTAGCTTCCTGCCTATTGGGAAATGTGTCATTTTGAGTGTGCTACACCAGCAATCAAATATACTCAAAGAATGGCACTTGATTAATATTCACGGTAAGTTGGTGGTGGAAAAGGGGGGTAGCTCTTGTTTATTTGTTTTCATATATTTTACGACACAAGGCCAATGAAAGAAAACAGACGCAAAAAAAAAAAATCTTCAAACCTGTCTGCCTTTGGACACAAAAATAAGTTCAAGTCTTGCCTTGCTTCCTGCTGCCCCACAAAAATGAGAAATAATTCCCTTTAAATATATTTTAAAGTCAGGTGGAAATATGACAGGACACAGTTAACATCATATGTGACTGGAAGAAAGAAACGACCCAAAGTCCCTGCTCAAGCTTTTTGAAGGGTATGATCTCTCCATGAGCTATGGTCTCATTTGCAGAGCACATCTTCCCCTATATAGAAAGTACAGGGCCTCTCAACAAAAATGCCAGTTGAGAGAGAAGGGGCATCCTAACTTCCTAGCTGTTATCTCCCTCTTTTCTGAAGGGAGTAAATTTTTCAGCCCTGTTTCACACAGTCACAAAGAAAAAGGACGTTTGCCCAGAGTGGCAAGTGGCATGTGCCCAAGCTATGCCTTTAATTTATACCCTTTTTATGCCTTGCTTACCTTTCACTGGGAGATGCATACCTTAAAGGAAGTTGGCTTCTATCTAGGGATTATTTCCCATTTATATATCATCCCATGCAACACTAGAATCAGTGGTCTGAGTTTTAGGGGGGTTTTGGATTCTTTTTAGTATGTTCCAGTGCAAAAGGAGTTGAGAAGAGCTGCCTGTTTCCTAGACAGCCTCAAAAACTTCTTGCGCTTATAACTCAATATCCATCTACTTTCTCAGCCCATCTGCGAATGAGGCAATATGGACATCGAGGAGCCTGGAGGGTTTGCTGCATCTCAATCCCCAGCACCTATACCTCTGTACAAACCCTTCCCACCAACTTATCTCACTTAGGATTAGGGAATGGCTTTCTCAGATGTGCAGTCATTTTCCAGTTGAGGAGCCCAAAATACCTCCCCATTGCTAATTAACACAGTGTCTCATCTTGAGAACTCGGAGTGCGTTTTTACCCTTTTTAGAAGTGATAAAACCGAAGCAATTTCTTGAAATTTGCAGTGATAAACTGGTGAAATAAGCCGAACTACTAAGTCTCTTCTTTGCTTGCCAGTCATGGGTGCTTCAGCAGAAAGCAGGAGCACAAGTGTCTGTCTCTGCTGCGTTAACACCCAAAGATGTGGGTCCCTGAAGGGAGATGCTGGAATAGTCAAACCCGTCACTGTGCTGAAGGTTGCAAAGGGCAGACCTGTGTGCAGGTTACTGTGATGTACAGAGACACAGGACAACAAGGTCTGCTCCTCCCTGGCAGTGCTAACAAGCCAGCTAAAAGCAGACATGGGTGGCCAGCATGGCTCAGAGGGAAAAGAGCAGTTGATGGAAACAAGTTGCATTGGCAGATTGGCTTAAGTCAGGTCCTGGTGCCAGGCAAGACTTAAAATCATAAACTGCCAGTGAAGGTTACCATAGGAGGGGGAAAAAAAAAAACCTAGCTGGCCTCAGCAATTTTTCTCCCAAAGGAAAAGAGGATCTAGGAATGTCAACAGGATTGTAAATTATTTCCCAGGAATTAGTTACCCTGTTTTATCTTTCTGGTTAGGATTTTTACCCCCTCTTTTCCCTTTAATTAAAATGCTGTTTATTGCATCATATCTGTGAGTGGGGAGAAGATTATCTTGCTAAGCACCAGAAAAAAAGAACACCAGCACTTTCCCAGGAGTGCGGTGGGTGCTTGTGTCAGTGTATTTGTAACAGTTCCCTTGCATCCAACCCTGTCCTTGCTGCTGTCTCTTACACCCAGGCAGAATGTACAGTGCCCAAGGCTCCTACATGCTTTTATGATTTAAAAATGCAAACCTAGATGATTATTCTGCTACAATAGCTCTGCCAAGATGTTGAAAAAATGTGAAAAACTTCACCTGCAAAAAAAGACAGGAACAATTTGAGATCAGCTAGGCACTGGAATTAGCAGCATCCTGCAAATATTTAAGGAGACTAGACACTGGGGCAGATGTTTTCAGAGACCCTACCATTCCTAATGTCTGGACACACAGAACCCGTGGGGCGAGACGTCTTGGAGAACAGACAGAACAGTGAACAGGACTTCTGCCACCCAGCTCCATGAGCTTATTGATAGCCCTGACTCATTTATGGATGAATGAGACTCTAGCATGCCCCACCACCTGTTCCCAGCCATAGAACGTGTTTTAGGCTCTAGTGTCTGAATTGGTATTAGATAGATTCTTGAGTCCCATTATTGTTAAAAGGAAAAAAAAAAAAGAAAAAAACCCACCTACCAGTAAGTTCAGGAACAAAATCCTAAATACTATTTCACACATGCACACTTTTTAAATTCATTTTTTAAATAAAAAGCATAGAGGGAAATGGAAGAAGAAGAAAGACAAATAGCCCCTCTAGAAGGACTGTGTACTTTTAAAGTGGCCAGGGACATTGAAGGAAGGGCTTCTTGTCCTTGAATAGAGCTGAACAATGGGAATACTCAAATCTATGTCTGTTAATGTATTATATAAGTGACTGAGCCACCAGACCAACCTAAGAGGCATTAAAAGTGCCTCCTTTTCCTTCTCTCTGCTACTGAGGAAAACTTTCATCAGAAACTGTCTGATCAAGAGGAAATAAGTGCAGGGACCATTTTCCAGCAGGCGTAAGTGCCTCAGCCATTTCACTGAGAGCATGAAGGCCTATTTTGGCTACAAAGCCAACTAGTAGAAAGGTTCAGCCTCCTGTTCCTAAGTACCCAGAGCTGTACCATTTCACACCAGGTGAGGTTATAGCTTTGAGGCAGTTGATATTTTTGTAACACAAACTAATATAGTTTTAAACCTTAAAAACTCTAATTGGAGCAACACGGTTCTTTTGTGCTATGCTTGGCTGGGAGAGGAGTCATTTTGGTGCCGTCCCCCAGCGGGACAAGCCAGCAGGGCCAGCACAGCCCTGCTGGGTCTCGCCTGTGCCTGCTGGGACAACGGCTTGCAATGGGCACGTTTTGCTGACACTACTGGTTTAAGTCTGACTTTCAGTGAAAACCTCAATACCATCAACTGCCAATTTCAAAATGCTGAATTTATACATTAAAAGAAGAACAAACAGCAAACCTCCAAGCAAACAAGACCCGAAGGAAGAGAGGTGTCCGCAAACTGGGGAGACATCTTTCATATATCCTTGACATATCCAATGTTCAAATAGCTGGGTGAGCAAGTTTAAACTTAGTTTGAAAACAGACTCCATCAGCAGTTTGTTTGCTTACTTACTTGCTTTTGGCCACTTCTCCCATCATCCCTGCAACTGCACATAGAGCAGCGAAGGCACCAAAGAAGCCTCCCTACCTTGCCCACCCACCTGCCAGCCTGTTTTGCTTTTTCCACATATTCAACAAACAGCTGTCACCCCTGAGCTTTTATTGCCTGGTTATTTATTCAGCTGCCATCCCTAAATAGCAGTGGGAGGCCAACGAGTGATTTTAGAAGATCCACAGCCTCAGAGAAGCTGCCCTGATAGACAGGAGCTTGTTCACGCAGCATCTGGCCTATGCAGAACTTGACTAAAACAGAAAAGCTTGCAACTAACGAAAATGAGACCTTTTCCTCTCAGAAATCCTCTACAATCTCAGCCCTATCCTGTCTTTCTATGCTATCCTTGTAGTCTAAAAGGGACACATATCTCATTGCTGTTTAGTGCTGAGCTGGAGCAAAGGTGGCTCTACCCCAGGAGCTGTAGCTCCTGTGTGAAATATCTAAAACACTTCGGAGACAGTGTGGAAAAAGTCAACTTACTTCTAATATTTATTGTCTTCTTTGCTAGAGGTTATTTGCATATCCATTGTACTGCAAAGGTGGTTAGATCCATTTCAGCTAAGGGTTAAGAATTTTTTTTCTTTCTACTTCTTACTTTAGATCCAGGCAACTTTTCAAGGCCTGCAAAGTTTTGGTATGGAGCAACTGTTCAAACATCATAAGCGAAACGGAAAAATCCTTTCAATATGAGACAAAGAGTACCTGGAGCATAGAGACCAGAGGAGAAGTCTGACTGTAGGCAATTTCTCAGGTTCCCAGGTACAACCTATCTGTTCTGAACACCTGCAAAGGCACAGAGGCTGTAGTGCACAGCACTAGTACCCCAGTTCTTTATGATTCATGTAAAATATGTGATACTGAAACAGCTAAATAGAGAACAGAATAGATAGTTCCTTAGCCCAACAGATTGTGCTTCTGCCTAGTGTCTCCACAGACACAATCCCCACAAGCCTCTGAATTTCTCCCCAGGGACTAAGGATAAGGGTACGCTTCCCATCAAACCCACATCCTTCCTATCAATTAAAATGTAAATGGGGAGACAAAATGAATAAAGTGAATTTCCGTTCCCACTCCACTCGTGACTTAAACCCCACTTCTTCAGCGTTGGCTGCAGGCACTCACGTCCGTCAGCTGTCCGGGCTTCCATGTGCACAAGGTCAGGTTCTTTATCCAAACCAGTCACTGACCTGGAGGGGGAAGAGAGAGAGAGAAGGCAGCCAGTTAGACAAAAGGATGCAATCAGATAGAGAGAGGGTGAGGGAAAGCAAAACCAGTTCAAGTCTATCTTGTGACACCTGGCATGTAGGTCCTTACCTCCTACCAACTTACCTGCTCTGTGTTTCTACACAGCCTGCTCTCAGGGGCCATATACTAACTTTTAACTCAGACATCTTCCCAGGCACTGGTGAATGAACCTGCCTATCCCCTTGTCTACAAGATCAAGACTACGATGATTGTTTCTGTGGTGGCAAACCGAGCTGGTTCCAAGATCCAGTAAAACCAGAGCTCTGTTTTAATGCTGAAGGAAAGATGAAGGCACAGCAGCCTCATGTTTATAGACAGCAAATTAAAAAGGGGTTTTACTCATCTGGATAGTGACATGAGAGGCTGAGTTTCCTGATCTGCCCTTGGTTTGCTAGGCAAACTTGCTGCTGTTTACCTCAGTCTCCTCATCTTCAAAAGCAAAACAATGATGCACATATGCATGGTGAAATTCTGATAAAAAAATGCAAGTATTCATTATTCACCCCATGATCCCGTGCCATGGTCCTTGATAATCATGTAACAAGCTATGATGACTTTCTTTAACCACAATGGTTGAAACGCAAGCAACTCAAGTAAAATCTTCCTATGTATTGTTATTTTACTTCCTAAAAACATTCTGCAAGGCACTTTACAAAGATAGTTTCCCTCCTGGCAGAGGGAAAGTCAAGCCCAGAACAGAAATGTTATTATTAGTGTCCTGACTGATAAGAATCACTGGGAGATGAACATTTAGTCCTAGCAATGGCTGGCAGGGGAAAAAAAAAATAATCCATAGATGTCCACGTGATTTATGGAGCTGCTTCTCCTGAGCTAGCCAAAGGGTTAGATTAAAAAGGGACAACGACAAAAATCAGTTTCTAATTTGGTGGAAGCTGAATTTGATATAGTAGATTGTAAATAATAGATTCCCTCCGAGTCAGTCAACGTTCACAATTCCCTAACATTCTGAAACACTTCTATCACACAATCTTTTGCTGCTTTCATCCTAGGGGCATCAACAGCTAAAACATTTAAAAAAAAAAAAAAAAAGAAAAAAAGAACGAACAAAATACAGATGCTCTGATATATTTTTATGGATCTCACAAAACAAAACATAGCAACTGAAGCAATGACAAACATACGTATATGCTGGAGTTCAGCTAAGATCAGCCAATGCTGCAAATGCCAAAACAACTACATTATGACCCGCTGTGTAGGTAACTGAAACTGGCACTGCTTGTTAACTAGAGCATCGCATCAATAGCAAGTCCATTCACAACACACTGTGAATTGTGGCCAAAAAAACCCAACACAACAAAACAAAGCCGCATAGGCAGAGCTTTCATCATTCTACTCCCAGTGAGAAATAGTCTGCTGCTTAATCACGATCATCAGTTTCAGAGTGATCTCACAAGGAAGAAAGCCCTTTTTGTTATTGGTAAGGATGCCAGAATGGGCCTGAGTCCCTGTGACCATGTAATTATTGGGGTCAAATCTTCCAAGTATCTGGACACAGTTCAAACGGCAGGACAAATAGAATCTTTAAAATGTCAGTGAAAAACATTATGGTGTGCAGCAACATTATTTCCCAATATATATATAGGAAGGGCACACATCCTTCTAGTCCATAGCAGAAGTTTTCTGCCTTTTTCCCATAAGTAGCACTAAATACTGTAATTTCAGCTATTCAGCAATCAAGACCCTTGCCTATGACATGCCAACAGGGACAGAGATACATGCTTACCAACATATCTATCACAACTTTATTAAAGTGAGCAGTGATTTCAGCACTTTTAGGTACAGGTTGGGAACACGTTAAGGACCTGCCTCACAGCCCTTCCCAACAGCCTTCCTACTTAAATCCAGCCTTCACTCTGGAGTCTGCACTCTCCAGTCTTCCTTCTGGAAGCCAGACACCAGCCTTCTACTCAGAGCCATTTACTGTCCCAACACCAACATGCCTGGCTGTCTCACCTGTTCCCCACCACCCCTCCTGGGTCCCTCCCCTCCAGCCGGAGGGGACACCGTGCCTCCCCCCACAGCAATAGGGAAAACCTACTCCTGGCTCAAGAAATAAGAAACATCAGTCTTCCACAACACTGTTCATTTTAAAAGGGACTGTAATTAGAAGAACCTAGGTATTTCCAAATAAAATCCAAAATACCCATTACCATTGTGTGTTTGCATACACAAGCTTTGTGGATCTACCCATAATGCTTGTTAAGTGAGCACCAGTGAATGACAGGAGTCTCCTGAAACATGTCATTCTAGCTTGAAGTTCCTTCTCAGTGACATCTACTTCTTTCTTTAACTAGTTTTGACAATGATGATGAAAAAAGGATCAGCATACAGCACTCTCCTAGTACTCCTCTGCCTGCCGAATACCGTACTGCAACTGGGAAAGCTCACAAAGCAATCTCCTGCAACCCAAAAGCAAAAAAAGCTCCTGCTACCTGCAGGCAGATAACAAGCCTATAGAGAATGCATCGGTCATCCTGCTTTCTCCCAAACCAAGTCGTTCTCTTATATCAAAGACTCGGATAGCAAAACAAATCTCCAATCAATGCTGTTCCTTCACGCCTCACCTCACACCTATTCCCACTGGCAAAGAACACAGCTCTGCTTTGCAGTGCTCTGACTCTTGAACACGGGTATTTTCAGTAAATAGTTTCTCATCGTTTGTCTGAAGAAGCTTTGCATGAAGAATGCAAAAAAGTCAGGCAGTGGAAAGAGCAAGATGTGAATGCAGGTCCTGGAGCACAGTTGCTAAAATGCACATACAGACCGTAAAGCTAATACTTTATCCCACGTAGTAATTTATACGGTCTTGAGAGCTCCCTGCAACAATCTCCTAGGTCTGGCCATACAAGAACAGCAACAAAACAGGAAGAGACACCTTGTGTTTTATCATACATTATCTCTCTGAAGAACACGAGGAGGATGCACGGCTCAAAACTATTTGAGCAACTGAAGTATGATGGGGAGAGATTTCAGTATCCTCTGCCTTACCCTTTCCCTTGCGTGTTCTCTACAACCAAGTGGAGCCCACAGAGCGGACTGCCTGGGAAGGGGTTTTGTGATTTACTGGCTGACAAAAAGCTCTATTTCAGAGACTTACAAAGACAAGAGTATTTAACAACATCAGAAGTCCAAGCTCAGCTTGAAAACAGTTTTCCTGCCACATGGTCACACCTCAGGCTCCATGCATGGCTCAGCTCTGTGTTTTGTACAGGCACAAACTCCAGACAGCAAAAACTAAACCAAGGTCCACAAAACGCACCCGAGCATGCTGCTGCCCTGGATGGCTGTAGGGAGGGAAAAAGGGCACTCATGCTGTGAGAAACCATGCTAAATTAACATCCCCCACCATCCTTATTCATTTATCACCACTCAGATGAGAAAATGCTGAGAGGATGCAGGCAGAAGTGACAGGAAAGGTCATTTTTTCCTGCTGACACATTCCCTGACTGCTGCAAAGGCAGTTTTTGAAATGTGGAGCCTGCAGCCAGTATTGCAGCTGGCACAGGATCGTTGGCCAATTAAGAATTCAAACTACCTCTGAATCGCATTAGGAAGGAAACAATGGCTACTTTTTCTCTACCTTCTGCTGCTGCTTTTCCTTTTGGTTTTTACAAGATCTTTCCTCCCTTCTTTTCAGAAGAGGATTGTGTGTTCTTAAAAGCTGAAGGATGGATAAGGCCCTGGCAAGATCCTTCTCTCTATGTTGAGGGAAGAGTGTTGTGCATGGATGCACGTTTACTAGGCTGCTCTGCTAGTTCTTAATCTCTGACTGGGAGGGAGAGCAAGCGAGAAGGGCAAGGAAAACACAGGATTCTGCACTGTATGTACCTATTCCTGAAATGTTTCTATATGAGATACTATATAATTCAAAATGAAAATGTTAGTGTATGGAAAGAAAGGAAAAAAAGAAATACACAGACTCTGTGTTACCTGCCTACTGCACACCTCAGCTCAGAGTTTCTACCAACTCTATCACCTTTCCATGGAATAAACCATTTTTTTGCTTTTTTTTTCTATGCATTTTCCAGACATCAGGCACTTAATGATGAAAGACAGCACTGAGATTTAGCTACTCTAGCATTTTAGATCAAGAATGCTGAGCAATTCAGACTGGCTGCTGCTGATCCTTGCTCCCTAAACCATCAATATAGAATAAGAGATGTTCTGTTCCTCCATCTCCTGGACCCGTTAGCCTGGGGGTTGGAGATGGCTATCACTAGAAACCAGCAACATTTGTGTCAAGGATTTACAAGGTAAAAGATCAGGTCACAGAGATCAGCCTTTCAAACTTGGTCTGGAATGTGCTGGATCAAGCTTTTTGCCAGGGGCGCGCCTGGTTTCTGACCAATCAAGACAGCATCCACCAGCTCTGGCTTTGAAACCAGAATCAAAACTTCTACAATGGATTGAGACTTTCCCAAGATGGCAACTTGGAAACTCATTTTTGCAGGCTGAGATGTCAGACTGAAGGCAATTGTCACTGCTCATGTAAAGAGACAGAGGAAACAGATGGAGACAACTTAGCAGGATGTCGTGCAGTAGGTAAGGGCTAGAAATGGGAAGGAGCAAGGCACATTTATTGTGCAATACTGTGTAAAGGGGGAAGAATACATCCTCTTGCTGCAGGATGATGCCAATTAGTCTGCTGCAAATTTAATTGTATCCTGCCCCAGAAATGAATAAACACTTCTGTGTGGTACCAGGGAGGCAGTGCATGAGACTAACTCATCCAAGCAACGGAAGGGCCAAGTCTATATGGGCAGATGGGATCAGAATCTGGTCCATACAATTCATACTGAACTGATCTGAACCTTTTCACATAGTGCCATTGCTAAATTATACATACCTTTCCAACATGGGCCAACAGCCAAGAGGCTACCTTCTCCATCTGACATGGCATCATGTTTGCCTAGGTATCAAT